AAGAAGAAAGAAAGAGGTGAGGGAAAGAAGAAGAATGATCGGTGATGAAGGTGGAGGATGATGAAGATCGGAGATGATGGGTAAAAATGGTGATTAGAGGATGATGGAAGAAAAAGAGGAGGAAGGTTAAATTTGTAATTTTATCCTTTGGTTTATACAGGAAAACTTTTATTCTATAATATGTGCACCCACCGGTGTTGAACCGGTGGGTGTACATATCTTTATCCTAATAATAAATCAAAAAAGTGTATTAGAGGGTGGACTATAAATATAAATATTCTTAATAAAATTAGTTTTTATATTATTTCATTAAGGATATATAAGTAAATTTATAGGGGCAAACTACACTTTTAATATATAATGTACCTTATAAAACATGAATTTCATAATAAATAGAGATGCATGAGTAACTAAGGAAGAATAATATTGAGGGAATAAGAAATGAATGAAAAATTAATAACAAATAAATTATTAATATATTGGGAGAAAAATATAATTATAAAATGTGAGGGAATAAGTTAAAGGAATCAGACCCAAGAAAAATTAATGAAGGATGTGGAGTGTATGTAAGTAGGAAAGTATCAAGAGTAAAAAATTAGTGTAAAAAAGAGATACATTTAGGTAGATAGAGATTTAAAGGAATGAATAAGAAAAAATAATAGAGAGATGAAAGGATAAAATGAAAGAGAATAATAACAAATAAATTACTAATATGAAGTGGGAAATGGAGGGAAACAATATAGGTTCTTTACCTTATATTGGTTAAGATTCATAATGTGGATATGTGTATAAATTTATTACATATATTACTAAATTATTTGTGATTTTAAAATGTTTATGTTATTGTAATATCAAGGAAACAGAAAATATTTCTATCAATATCAAGGAAACAGAAAATATTGAATGATAGAAAGAAAAATTGGGGTAAAAAAAACTATAATGATAGATGAAAATGTAACGGTTGACTAAAGAAGAATAATAGAGATAAGAGGATAAGGAAAGAAAGATTAATAATAAATAAATTATTAATATAAAAAGGAGAGGCGAGGATAGACATAGCGTAGGTGATAAATATGTGAGAGGGTAAGTTAAAAGAGTGTGTTATAAGTTTAGACACCCCGCTCAAAATTTCAAAAATATAAATTAAATTTAAAAAATTAAGTTTTAATGATTGGAAAAATTGGAGATACCACCTAATCAAATAGAGGTAAAATAGGTTACCATTGATCTACGAGAGATTAAGATTTGTTGTTTAGTTAGAAGTGAAAAAGAGTATACGTATACCTCACAATTTTTCATACAAAACATGGTTGTGTATTTTAAACTTGAGGAATTTATTCAACTTGTAAAATTGTTCTTTTGTATAAATGGCTTTAAATGAAACATTTAAGACATCCATGGACACAATCGAGTCATATGTTAAGAGTCTTTAGGACTCAATTGAGACAAGTAAAAATATGAAGATGCAATTGAGAAAAAAGTGGACCAAATTGAGGTGAGTTCAAATGCATGGACCAGATTAAGTCAAATGCAAATAAGAGGGTCCAGGTTACATGGAATCAAAACTTTTAGGTGAAGTCAACAAAATGATTTAGAATGCGTGAATTAGGTTTGAACATCTTTGACTCCCATTTTTTTTCCTTTTTGGTTAACTGAGAAAGGAAATTACCCTTTTTTTCCCTTTTTTTTTTTAGTTAATATTAGGGCCTGCAATTGAGCCAACACACATTTATTGTTGAAGTGGGTCCGAGAAAAACTGGCTCTCTCTTTTTCTCATAGTTTTTTTTTTTTTATCTCTTTTTGAAGAATGGGCTGAAGGATATGAGTTCAACGGGTTAAACCCGACCCGTTAAACAAGATCCATCGGATCCCAGAGATCTGAATCGTGAACAGATCAAAATGCGCCCAAATGTGAAGTTCTTCCCAATCGGCCAAAAATTTATATCAAAATTCCAGAGCTAAACGCGTGGCACATTATT